TCCTTCTGCTACCTTAATACTAAACCTATAAATGTAGGCTCATAGATCTATTTCCCCATCCTCATATAATATATTTGCATATGTACATGCTTTTATCTAGAGCTCTATAAATGCCCTTTTCCTCCCAGCTCTTTCCTCTATTTCCCTTGATTCTCCTCCTTAAAATAGCCCTTTTTTGCCATTCTGTTTGAATTTACACTTCTAGTACAGTAAACCTTCTGGTTTTCCTACTCAAAAATGATCAATACTAGTCAATTTCAGGTCATTATTGCCCAGGGTTTAAATCTTTTTGTGTTCCATTTCATTTTTGACAACTTCAAATTCTCCTGGATTCATATTTCTTACATGCCATGTTCTGACTATTGACTTTTGTTTGTAGCTCCTTTTCCTCATTTGGAATTGTATCCCATCAATAAAGGAAGGTCCTGGAAATTTTATTCCATTTGCGCCATTAATGTCCACTCTACTTTTAGGAGGCAGCCCTTCCCCAGTAACATTTTGAAGGCCTTGCAACCTGAAGGGATCATCTCCTGGCACACTATCAGACAATGTTTCACTGTTATTAATAGAGTTTCCAGTGGCTAATCCCTAACTAGTGTACCACGTATTTCTTCTTCCTAATCTGTTCTCTTGAAATGTGTTCATAATGGGTGACTGCTAGTATTTCAAATGCTAGTCACATAGCTTTCAACATCACAGCCGCACATAAGCTACCATGGTATGGCAAACTGACAGACAAGTAGTGAACAGTGAGATGAGAATAAATACTAGGTACATTATGACACAAATAATTTGTTCATTAGTTAGGTAAAGCAAATGAAAGATGATTGCATTCTCAATAGATGGGTTGGCTTGTTGGGGATTGATTAGCTTCCTTATCTTTAACCAGTGATAATAAATAACCAGCTTACTTGTGCTGCTTCCAAAGTTAGATGTTAAATATGATGAATTAGAACATGAGTCATGTAATTGAAAGGTTTCTATAAAGTGCTATTTCTTTTGATTTCATAATGCTCAAGGACATAAAGGAGTTTTTATGAAATTAATAGTATGAGATATTAATATATTAGACTATATTAATCTAGATCTACTCTTTTAAACTAATGTGATGGTGTGGAGAACAAGAGTGGAGTAGAGGATGAGATTTAATTTTAGGAATTACACTGTTACAACATGAATTATATATTTCTGTGTTAACAAAAACAACAACAAATGTTTTTAGTATATTATGAATAGTTTTATATCACCATTAACTTTCTTTATAGAAAGTAGTGCTTATGTTTCTTCTCTGGAGTATATTTCAGAGATAATAATGTTTTCTTAATGGAATTTGTAAATACCTGATAGCCTAGTTTATCTTAAATCAGCCAGCAATCCTTTAATATTCTGGGGGGAAAGGTAGTTCCTTGAAATCAAATTGGAAAATGTGCACAAGTCAACTCTCCTTTTAAATGCCATCGACCCCATTCTGATGCAGAGTGGCACTGTGGTAAGTGCACAACATATTACTGGCTGGAACCTTTACAGGAACAGATTTCTAGTTATTTTCTCCCACAGAGCAGCTGAGGAGTTAACAACAAGGAATCTTTTGATGAGTACTTGAGTAGATTACCTGTTGAGCCACCAGGACTCCAAGTGGATACTAATCCCCCATCATGCACTCCATTCTAATGCCTGATATTTGAATGATGTTTCCTGACATGATGTTCATATTTCATAGACTTTACTTTGACAGAGAGCTTCCGATACAATGCTTACTTCAAATGACGTGGTTGGACAGTAATTAACATCTTATTTGACTTACACCCCAAAGATGTCCTGAAACACTATTAACACTATTCAGGATATGCTTAATATGAATTCCATCACAAGACCAAAATTTTAAGTCTATATAGATTTTATCTTACTGCTTTAATTTTAGCATACTTTTTATGGTATTTTCCTCATTGATTTTAATGAGAATAGAAATTTGATGAGAATAGAATATTGATATAAATGTTGACATGGATTTTATTTACAATATCATTTACCAAGATTAACCAGATAAAACCCTTTAAAAATACTAATGTTTTTGCCATATGAAGAACAAGTTGATAAGATTGTGTAAAAGACAAAATTCCCAGTGCTGTAAAATACATTTCTGCTTGCATTAAACTCACTGCCATCAAGTTGATTCTGCCTCATAGTGACATTTATAGATGGCATAATATCAAAATATATGATCTGTTGCTTTTAAACTCCAAGACCTCAATCTTAACAAAAAACAAAACAAAAGAGAATATTGTGTACATACTCCCCCCCCCAAAAAAGAAAGAAAATAAAATATTTTCTTCACTATTATATGGAAACCCTGGTGGCATCATGGGCTGCACATTGAGAGGCTCATCAAAAGGTCACAGGTTCAAACCCACCAGCTTCTCTGCAAGAGAAAGATGAGATTGTGTATCCTCATAGAGATTTAAAGTTACAGAGCTCACTAGGACATTTATAGTCTGTCCTTTAGAGGTGCTATGATTTGCAATTGACTTGGTGACAGTGAGTGCATATTATGATGTCAAGAATAAACATTATTTATCAAATAATTAATGACTAATAAATATATCAAAGTGAAAAACATTTAATTAAGGACAGGTATGATGATTTTATAAAATCAAAATCCAGATGGTATTTTATCTTTATATTCTTTAATATATCTCTCAAAAAGAATATGACATATTGTTTTCAAATTAAAATATGAATTGTGCTTTTGTTTTGTTTCTCAGATAAAATCGCTCCCTGTGTTTTTCACCTTTTACTTTAAAAAATATGACTCCTCAGTTTAAATCTATAAGATGTATAAAATGTAGTTGTAAATAGCAATATGTAATAATTATGTGTGTTTGTTCATATTAATAATTATATTTATTAATGTTTTAGTTCTTCAACAATTAAAATAATTGGAGAATGTATTTCTGTTTCTAAGTGTGTTTTGTTCTCCTGAACTAGGTGAAGTATAACAGAAACCACATTAAAATTGGGAAAGAATATATGTATGAGTTGGTAAAGGAGTACAGTAAGTTCAAACATGTTTGGGTAATAAGCATTTAAAGACATAAAGCTGAATATATGTTTCTACTTCTAAATTGCTGATGAACGAATTTTTGTGTTTCTTAAGTAACCTCATCTGTCCAATTGGATTTCATGAAAATAAATTGAGTAATAAAACTTTGCAGAGAAGTTTGTGCCATAAAAATAATAGAAATGGAGATATCAAGTTAATTATTTAAATGACACACAGATTTTAAAAACTCCAGAAAATTTTTATCTCGAAGGCCACTGTTTATATTTAATATGTACATATAATTAAAGAAATACCTCCACTCATATAACTTATCACTACAATTTGTTTTCAATCTTACTTTATACATTGACTGAAATTAAACTTTTGCTACTAAAATTTTTCAGGCTTTGATTATTTCCTTGTTATTTTAACAAATCTATTACTTTTACAAGGGATGAGAAGGAGAGGAGTTTGACAAGTTCCTACTTGTTTTAAAGCAGTCCTCCTAAAGAGGAAAGAAGGTTAATGAATGGAAACCACTGTCGAATTAAACCAAACCCAAGCTAAGCTCACTATCATTGAGGTGATTTAGATTCATAGAGACCCTCTATACCATAGGCTGAAGTACAAATGTCCTTCTGGGTTTCTAAGGCTGTAAATCTTATCAAGAACAGAAAACCTCATCTCTCTGTCTCAGGATGGTTGGTGGTCTCAACCTTCAGACCTGTGGTTTAGCACACCAAAATATAAGCCACTGCGCTGTCTTTAAATCTGCCTTAAACACTGGTGATATTCATGCTGTCTCTGCTCCCTCTGAAGAAGGCACACTTGACTGAAATACTCAAGCAGCAGAATGTCTAGTTTCAGTGAAGTTAAAGCAATCTAAATTCTGTTTCTATTTGTAAGTCCCTGCATTTTAAGTAAATATGTACGTACACTGTCGTGATGCCTTTTGACCTGGATGGTACAACTGGTTTTTTTTTCTCAATATCCATGCTAAAAAATTGATTTTGTTTTGGTCAACAGATTTTCCACATGACATATGATCTTGCCAGTGCAGTGGTGAGAATTTTTAACCTCATCGGCATGATGCTGCTCCTTTGCCACTGGGATGGCTGTCTTCAGTTCTTGGTACCACTGCTGCAGGATTTCCCACCGGATTGCTGGGTGTCTCTAAATAAGATGGTCGTAAGTAATTTCTTCATTTCCAATGTTCTGCAAAAAGCTTCTCAGTATTTATAGGAATAATCTGATTTCTCCTGCATTAATGTTTAGAAAAACTCATTTTTGCTTTTATGGTTACAAAATCAGATGCTGCATTTATGTGTTATAGCTATATTTTCTTTAAATAAACTCTGTCTGAGGAAGCATATGCTATAGCATCTGATTTTGGATGCCTCACTCGTTTTATACCGAGACTTCTTTTTGAAAAGTGACATAAACAAATGCATATAAAAACTATCATGGTCTTGCATACTTTAATAATACATACTGCATTTAAAAAATCCTTTTGGGGGGAGGTCTTAGAGATCATGCCATAGTTCAACCACATCAAGCAGGGTTGTACAATTGCTACCACAAACAGTTTCAAAATATTTTCTTTCTTCTTGAACTTCTTGATATAAGCTCTCCTTTATCCCTTCCCTCCCTCACCAGACCCCAAGGAAACCTTATTATTTTTCCATATCTTACAAAATGCAATATATTCATTCACATACAATTCTATTTTTCAGTACCATACAATGGCATTGTATGATACTCACCTTCCTAATATAATTGCTGATGACAAAATGGGTTCATAAGCAAATGTAGTGAATAAAACTGATGGTGCCCGGCTATTAAAAGATATAGTGTCTGGGTTCTTAAAAGCTTGTAGTTAACAAGTGGCCATCTAGTAGGGAAGCAACAAACCCCTCATGGAAGAAGCACTCCAGCCTGTGTGATCATGAAGTGTCGACAAGAAGAGGTATCTGAGGTTCAAAAATAATCAACCAAATTGATGTAGTGGAAACCCAAAACCAACCTGTAAGATAATTGGACACTTCCTCTTAGAAGGGCCACAGAGAAAGAATGATAAATCCAGGGTGTGGTATGGCACTGATGAACCACATGACTATCCTTTAATTCTTTAATATTTGCTTCCATTCGTATTATGGTTTTATTTGCTTTACCTCATTAATCATTGTCAGGTTTGAGTATATTCATTTGTATATTTAAGATTGTTAGCTACATGAAAGTCAAGAGAGATAACCCATCAGTAATGTACCCAACATTAACAGGAGTAATGGGTCCCTGAGGTTACAGGGAAAGAGGGAAGGGGCATGGGGAACTGATAGCATTGATGACTACATACTGCTTAGAATCACTCTTTCAACTTTTTGTTGTGAGCATTTGCTGTATTCATACAATTGTGGGCATTGGTAGGTATACAAAGGTAGCTATGTCGGCAAGGATTAACATGAAGTACGTATAAAGTGGTATTTCAGCCAACACATCTTGGGGAATTATCTTATTTAATGTTGTTGTAACAGAAACAGTGCAAATGGGTGACTTTAATAAAGATCTTTTTTCTCTCACACTTTTTTCGGACTACAAGGCCAAATTCAGGGTGTCAGCTCAAATTTTGAATCTCTCCATTCGTAGTCTGTGGGTGTGGCTCCCTTTGGAGATCTGCAGGTGTCTTATCATCAATCTTGCCTTGGTCCCTGTGTAGACACAGTTTCAAGCACATGCTTCACTCTTGGCTCCTCTTTCTTGGTGGCATCAGGTCCTTCTCCTTCCTTTATCTCCTGTAAGAAGGAAACTGTCTACCCCGAGGAAACTTCCCTGCCAGAGGATCAGGGCTTGGGCTTGAGTAAGACTGTTGCTTCCCTCATCACCTTACATCAGATCAGGAGGATCTATCACTTGGGGACTGGTTACATTATAATACCAATGCCAGCTCAAGGAGCATCAGACCTCAATGAGGTTTATGCATTTAGGGACGACAGTATTCAATCCATGACAGGACGCAAGACCAAAAAAAAAAAAAAAAGTCATGGGCAATGGAGCCTTTAAACTTAATCCTAAATGATATTTTAAACTTAACCCTAAATGCCATTTGAAAAGAACCTGTTTGAATATAAATTTAATTTCCATACTGAAGAATGTTGTTTACATTTAAGTTGAAAGTATAAGCTTTATTATACAGATCACACCACTAACAAAAAATGTAAATGGTGACTATTTTAGGGTAATTCCTATGCGTAGGTCAATAAACCCTTATTCTCCATGAACGCAGGGTTTGATATTTTCTTCTTGTATTACATTTTAATAAAATACTGATTTTTAAAGATAACTATACATTTAGATAGGTTTCTGCAGAAAATAGGATGGAGGCATCGACTGACCTCTTCTTATTTATTTTTTTTTCATTAAGCAGATTTTATATTTATTTATTTATTTAAATTTATTGGGGCTCATACAATTCATCACAATACATAGATCAATTGTGTAGAGCACATCTATACATTTGTTGCCCTCATCATTCCCAAAATTCGCTTGCCTCTTGGGTTCCCGGAATCAGCTCATTTTCCTTT